GGCAGTGCGGCGGCGTCAGGCCGGCTTCCTAAGGAGCGGTGCTGGCTCCGTGCAGAGCCGGGCCCGGAGCTTGGGTCTTAGTGCCCGTGCTCGGTGCCCTCCACGTCCTGGTGTCCCCGACAGGGTCCCGAGCGCCGCAAAGAGGAACTTTCTCCCGCCGCTCCCACCGCCGAGGTTCTTGACTGGTCGGGGAAAAGCGCCAGGATGGGCCTGTGTTACTGTGCAGAATCCAGGGAGTCCGCCCTCAGAGGCAGCTGGGCTCGGGGTGAGGCGCAGTGCGAACCCGGCTGGAGATTGGAATTGTGAATCGGGCACAGGAGCAGGGCTCTGTTTCCAGGTGAAAGGCGCGGCCAGGCTATATAGTCTTTTTAAGACAGGAATTTAGTAGTAGTTTGGAGGAGGGAAAATTGGAACTTGGTGTCCTGAAGCTGTTTTTTTTATTTTGTTTTTTGTTTTTATGTACTATACAATTTAAAGTTTTTGGTTTTCTTTGTCTCCTTTCTACCCTGTTTTTTTCCATCTTATCTTTTTAGAACAGTTTTCTCTAAAACTCTGGAATTGGTTCCTTGACAGTGAGACAGACATTGAGTGGGGAAAGGTTGAGGTTCAGGAACATTGTCACAGGATGCATAGTGACTGTAGAGCGTATCTCCGGTCCCCTCCCGGGTTGGGTGCTGGTGCCACTCTCATTGGCTGTGTGAACAGGGACAGGAGGCCCCCACACTGCCCTGAGTTTCTTAGTCTATAAAATGGGGTGCTAGCAATGCCAGCAAGCTGTGGGGCTAATCAGTAAGTGGTGCCTGGCACGTGGTGAGGCTCAGGGAGTCCCTGCAGTTGATGGCCGGCAGTGTCCTCTTCAAGTCTTGCACCTGGGAATTCTCTCAGGCAAGAAGAATGAGGGTCTGGAGCCAGCTGGCCTCAGCCCTCAACTGTGCCTCTGTCGAGCCCCAGCTTCTCCTGCTTTCCCTCTCTGAGGACACGTACGGTCTTTCTTGGTGGTGGAAGGGTTTCAGAGCTGCTGATTCTGAGGGGCAAGTGGAAGGGGCTTCCTCCTGATACCTTTTTCTTCTCTCAGATCTTACCTTCTGGAGACCACAACCATCCAGGGCGAAGAGCCCAGAAAGAGGACATGGCTAATAAGCGGAAGGAAGCAAGGGCTCAGGTGAGCTCATTGCCATCTCAGTTCCTAATGGGTGGGATTCGTGGTTCCTTCCCTTACTGAAGCCCTCTACCCGATACAGCCTTCTGTAGGATTTGGCGCCCGAGTGCTTTCACCTTGGATGAGTTGGTCACTCTCATGGGTGGTGTAGGGAACACTGCCTACATTCATCCACATGTAGTGTATACTTTAATGTTCCTGATAGGCACCCTTTACTCGCCAATCTCACTCCATCATCCAATCACTATTTGACAGTTCAGAAACCAGGTGTCCTATCATTAGAGACTGAGCAAACTTGAACTCTTGGGAAAGTTTCTTTCTGTCCCTGCTGCTGTGACTCATCCATGTCTTGCTCCCTGTCCTTGGTGAGATTGATTCTTTTAACTCCTGGGAAGGAATTCTTACAGTATTTCTGCCTAGCTTCTGCAGCCCATGGTTTCTGTTTTTTTGTTTTGTTTTGTTTTGTTTCTCCCTCTTACCATTAGGATCATTTGCTTTGCTGTAGCTCTCATGAAAGCTGATCTTGACTTGCCATTTTCATCTTTATATTGGGGAACCAACAAGAGGCATCCATACATGGTAAGATGCTGTGTGAACAACGGATAGCCATGTTGAGAAGACACAGCTGGAGAGGAGTTTTACTCTGAGGGCAAAGGGAAGACTCCACAGGAGAGTTTCATGGGATATTAGTAATGAAGAAGTAGTGCACACAGTGGTTAAAAGTGGGGATTCTCAAGTGAGAGGATATGTTTTAACTTCTCTCCTCTGTTGCTCTTTGTGGGCCGAGGCAAATAATTCGCTCTCACTTATAAGATGCAAAGAACAGCCATGGCTAGATCTAGGATAGGAAAGAGGATGACTTGAGTTAGTGTCTGGAGATTGTTCAGCTCAGAGCCTGGTAGATCATAATAGCTCACTGTGTAGTGTTTGTGTCAGCTAAATAATACTGTTAATAATGTTAAATTTTGGTAGAAACTACTTTCCAGTGTTGGTAGGAACCCCAAACCACTCCTCCTTTCTCTGTTCATCTTCATGCAATACTTGAAAAGGAATGTGTTGAGGCTTTGTGTTTTAGTTACTTTCTCATTTCTGGAACACAGTACTCCCACAAGTTAAAGAGGGAAAGGTTTATTTTGGCTCACAGTTTGTAGAGTTTTCAGTCCATAGTTGGCTAGTTCCAATGCATGGTGGTATGGCAGAGAGGTATGAAAGAGGACAAAAAGTCCACAGAAGGGATAGCAGAAACTAGCAAGACTTCTTTCTTTCTCATTTATTCTATCCAGGCTACAAGCCTATTGGTTAGTACTACCCAAACTCAGGGTGGAACGTTCTTTGTCAGTAACCCCATCACCCAGTCCTATTCTAAACCAGTCGGTAGGCTGATCTGTCGTTGAACACCCATGATCCAGTTACTCCCAAAGCCCCACCTGAGGAACACCTGAGGCTTTGGGGGGATATTTTATATATAAACCATAGCACTTTGCATGATATTTCTAGTTCTCAATACAGAAGGGCAGTTAATTGTCCTCATTTTACATATATATGAGGAAACTAAAGCTCAAAGAATTCAGGTAACCCATATTCAAGCCCAGTGTATCTGGCACACACTATAGGCTTAAATCTTCCAGCAGCTTCATTGGTTCACCTTGCATAGCATGGGAGCCCCAGTCGTATGTTAGCAGGGCACTTTACCAATGTCAGCATTGTCTTTGGATCTACAAGTGTGGTATGGTTTGATCTGAGGCAGTATCCCGGACCTGCCATCTTCTGATTGAGCAGCGCTATTTCCTTCGAGGCTTTCCCATTCCATTCCAACAGGGTCAAGTTGCTCTCCTGTCTCAACCTTTCCTATCTCTGTGTGTGAGAACGCCCTTTGAATGTGAAATTCAGGAGTATTTTAAGTACATACATTCACATTATTGAGCAACCCTCATCATTGTTCATCTCTCTTGTATATATTGATATAAAATAAGAATTTTGCTTTACAGTAAAGAAGAAAATAGTTTATTCTGAGCCAAACATGAGTGACCATGACCAGGAAGGCAGATTCATATTATGTTAATGACATAGTCTGACATGAAGGAAGTTACATGAACTTTTATAGTCAAAGGCCTAAATTAATACATTTAACAAATACGGTGGTAAGGGCATTAGGTAGGCAGCTTATAGTAAAGGGGCAGGTCTTTCCTATAGAAATCAGGTATTCTAGCATTCTTAACTTCGGGGTTGATATAGGCTGCAGTTCTGTTATGCATAGCAGTACATCCTAGAACGTTTACCTCATAGGAGAATGTCGGGTCGGGTAACAAAAAATAAGTGGCTGGTTTTCCAGAACTCTTGCAACAGCCCTAGATACTTTGGGCTCTGCACTTGCAGCACTCCATCTCTCAGTTACCATGTTTTATTCAGCTGAGGTCAGGGTGCAGGATCTTAACATAGATGTGGCTTCTTCAGAGAACATAGGCCACACACATAGATTATCTCATTTGTTAACCCTATGAGGTAGGCGCTGAGATGCAGTTGTGAAGATTAGTTAAGAATGGAGCCTCAGACAGCCACATGGATTGGAATTCCTCTTCTACCACTGATCACCTGTGTGCCTTGGACCAATTGTTCATCCTCTGTGGTACTGTTTTTTCTCGTGCATAATAAGGACAATGATAATTCTTCATAGGATCATGGTTGAGATTAAACATATTATGCTCTAAAGATGAACATAAAGAACTAAGAGCAGTATTTAGCCTGTAGAAAGGATTCAGTTACTGATAGCTACTTTTTTTATAATTACTGTCTTTGAACTTGAGTAAGCAGCCAAACAGTGCCTTAAAGTTATTTAACTTAGTCATCAGTAGTGAGTGTTTAGGTTGTTTGCTTTTTGTGTGTATGCTCTTACAAACACCATGACAAGTATCCTCGTGCATGCAGTTTTGTGCACTGTTCATTACAATCCAAATACAGTAACTGGTGAGTTATAGAGCATACACATTTCCAAGCATTTCAAAAGGTATCATCTAATCATGTTTTCCCCATTAAGTTTATTGGTACATTTAAGGTATCATCTAATCTTCAAAAATCTTTGTTAACATTGATTGCCTCAGTTCCTTTAGACATCTCATTTTGATTGACACCCAGCTAATGAGGTAGTCAGTTTTCCATTACTGTTATAAAATACTTGAGATAATCAGTTTATAAGAAGGAAAGATTTATTTTTGCTGTGTTTTATAAGGGTCGGGAGAAGAGGACTTTGCTGGAGACCCGTGCAGTAGGTACCAGTTTCCTGTGAGCCACCACAGCATCAGGTTTCATAGACAGAACAAGACTTATAGTAAAGTTGAATCTTGGGTCCTGGTCAGTGGTGCTGATGGCAGCAAAGACAAAGGCCTCCAAGCACATCCCATATTTATTGAATACAATCATGAGAAGGAATAGGGAGCTTTGAAGTTATCTAGTGATTTACTGCCAAACACCTGGCATGGTGGCACCAGGCAGGAAATGTGAAGGAGTCAGCACTGCTTATCTTGGTAGGATAGAAGAAACCTGTACCAGGCACAATTTGCAAGCACCCCACAAGGTCAGTGAGAAGCGATAATTCAGGGGAAAGGATTTTAATTGGGAATACACTGACCTTAGCTGTACATAACTCAGCAGAGTCCTGCCACTTCACATACCAGGACTTAGGCCTCAGTGACAGCCATTAACAAAGGAGTAATACTAGCCCAACTCTGCTAGCTGACATGCCCATTTGAGTGACACAGGGTTTTGATCTGACTCCTGATATAAAACAGTATAACCAAATTCGGGAAGGCAAGAAGTACATGCCACTGATAGCCTGCTCGTTCTGGACAAGGATGTCTCCTAAATGGTTTCAAATGTTTCAGTCTGTGGTCGCTTGGCCTTGTAGCTTTGCACCTGCTGTGGAGCAGTACTGTGTATCAAGGTGGGAGTCTGTGGGAGAAGGCTACTGGGAAGCAGAGAGAGGGACGGGAACCAGCTGGCGTCCCAGTGTCCCCTTCGAGAGCACGTGCCCAATGACTCCCCGTCCTGAAGGTTCCACTCCTCTCATTGGCACCTTGGGACTGGGAAAAAGACTTCAACGCACTGGTCTTTGACGGGCAAGAAGGGTCCAGGCTACAGTGGCCAGGTTCCTCCTTTTTGCGCTCGATGCCCATTTTTCACAGACAACCTGAACCTTTAGATCTTTGAGTGGCATCAGGAGCATTTCCCGGTAGCCTCTGCCTCCCCACTGCTGCCTTCTTCCCTCTGAGACTGGTCCCGAGTAAGCTGCAGTGGCTTGTCCTTGCAGGTGGCAGTGACCTTCGAAGACGTAGCTGTGCTCTTTACTCGGGAGGAGTGGAGGAAGCTGGATGCTCTGCAGAGAAACTTGTACCGGGACGTGATGCTAGAGAATTACAGGAACCTGGCTTCCCTGGGTAAGGAAATTCCCCACAGAGACTGACTTCAGAAAAGTGAGGTCTCAGTGCTTCCTTCCCTGAGTAGCAGCTGTTGATCATCAAAACATTAGCTGAGTCTTGCCTTAAGATTGTACAAATTGGATGTGTACAAATAAATGTTGAAAGCACCCACCCTGCTCACAGGCATGGAATGGACTGTGTACAGGAACAGAGGGCGTTGTGTCGGGAATCGCTCCCTGCCCTCAGTGTAGTTGCCCACAGGAGATGTCTTCACGTTCCAGGTGTCTTTTCTGCACAGAATTCTGTGGTTCCTTGGCTCATCTCAGCAGAGGGTTTATTTGTTCAGTCTTGGACCTGCACTTGCCTGTCCTAGGGGTCATCACAATCTCTCTAGAAAAGACCAGGTAGTGAATATTTCAGCTTTGTGGGCCAGTTTCTGTATTCTCTTTCTCCTAGTCTCTGGTTTTTTTGTGGTTTTTCAAATTTTTTATTAATTCAGTTTTTGTCTATGATCAGGATTCCCCTTTACCAAACCGAGGGTGATCTCCCTGTTGCAGCAAGGAGAGGATCCCTGGAAGGCTGAGAAAGAAAACCCTGGAGGCCCCTCTCTCGGTGAGTGATTAGGCCCGAGGTGCCTGGGTTAACACGAAGGGGATGAAGCTTGGCGTGTTGGCTGGGCAACTTCTTCGGCTTCTCGGTCCTTAAGAAGAGGGAAAGGCAAAGCCCGGGCTCCTAGACATGTGCTTCCTCTCACTTTCTTGTAGTCACTTCTCAAATGAATATCTCAGGGTCTCTCTTCTTCTTATTTCCTGTTGCTTCCCAGAAGGGCAGCATTTTCATGCGCTCTATTTAAGGGACTACAAATGACTCCTCTGGCTAAAGCTGAAGGTAGGTGCAGGGAAAGGAGACGCTGAGGAAAGAAATGAGGAGGAAGCTATGTAAGGACCACGTTGCAGCAGTGCTTTGGTGCAGTTCTAAGAGACCAGAACTGTCTCCTGGGTGACTGGAAATAAGTGAAGAAGTTAAACAGCCTATATGAATCTTGAAGTTTAGAAACACTGACCTAAACCAGAAACCATTTAAGTTTCCTTCAGTAAAATAGCTGAAGTAACTGTGCTATGTCCTTACTGTGAAACCCCTCACCACACTTAGAAGGAAGAGCACACGGAGGTGGACAGAGCTCCAAGGGACGTTGAGGAGTGAAGCACATTGTGGAGTGCTACTAAAATATGTCACTGTTTAAAGACATGGACGCGTGTGTCTGTGTACAGTGTAATGCTTCTGGGAACAGAGCAAGCGTAGGAGGAAGCCGGGTAAGCTTAGGGGGATACAGCTTAGCTGGTAACAGTAGTTACTTTTGGAATGAATCTGATGTATAGGGGCTTTATTTGCATGTAGTGTTTTAATTTTTCACAAAGTGGGCATATGTTCATGGAGTCCTTTGGGATTTGAAGTTAATGAGAGTAGTCACTTTGAAGCATTGTGGAGGATAAACTTAACAGTGAGGCAGAACTGGAGGTGAGAAGCCTCCCAGAGACATTGCAGTCTTGTAATCTAGAAGCTGCACTCCATGGGGGTGATGGTGGACCAGGAGAAGCTAGCTTGATAAGGATACGTGAGAGGTCATTACAGGCCGGTTTTCATTTGAGATGTGAGTGAAGTACTTGGTGACGATCTGATGGGCAGGTGTGTAAGGGAAAGGGACAGATTAGGACTCCCAAGAGGAGGTCAGGGATCCCTCACTGTGAAGGTGGTATTTTCAGCCCTGAGCTGACCGGGTGAGAGAACAAAGCAGAGGACAGAATCCCAGGAACCGGTGTTTTCCAGGTAGTTAAGAAAGAGGAGTCTGTGACTGAGCTTGAGGTAAAGTTACCAGAGCAGAGAACTGGGAGAAGGTCACCCCTGTGGCCTTCGGGGATAAGGGCTGTGTAATTAGGGAATCTGGTGCTGGAGGACTGAGGCTTGCCCTCTGCCCTGTAGCTTGGCTCCCCCTTCATATGTGCTGAGTAACCTGGTGTCAAGGACCCAGAGAGCAGCACTGGACGTGGTGAGACTGGGGCCTGTGCTCGTGGGCTTACAGGCGAGTGCAGAAGACCAGAGTGAATATGCCATGCACGCTCAGAGTGTGGAAGAACAATTTCTAGTGAGAGCAGAGGAAAAACGAAGTGCTATGAGAAGAAAGAAGTGGTAGCAGCCAAAGCTTCTCTGAGGAAAGGTAAGGGTTTGAGCATGTAAAGAATCAATCCAGCCCCAGAAATGGCAGGTGTGATGATTCTGAGAGGGGAAGCCAGTGTCCTGTGAGAAGGGTGGAGTAGACTGCAGGAGATAGCAGTGGAACCAGATGCTGCCAATCCTTGGCCAGTGACAGGGTTTGGTCTCAGGACCTGGGAGCTGCACAGGACTGAGCAGTCCTGAGCAGCCTGGAGCCAGGCCCAGGTGCCTTCACTGCAGAGAGAAGGGTGCAGCTCCCTGAGGTTCCTGAAGGTATGGAGGAGAGGAGGTGTGGGCTGTGTCAGTTCCACAGTCAGCCATAGCCCCTCATTCCTGGGTCAAGGAGGAGCACAGGACAAATTACCTCGTCTTGCCAGCTCAGGTTTGAAGGTCTCCTTGATCTCAGGGGATAGCATCTGAGATGGCAACTACAGATGTCTGTCTTTTTAACCCTCATATGATAGAAATACACTAATTGTGTAGCTGATGCCAGAGATCAGGGAGGTTACATGAAAGCAAATAGAACAGCTGGGAAGCCGTTGAGAATTAGGTGGCAGTCTAGTCACTAGCTGTAGTCTGAGTGTATGGGAATGAACAGAGGAAAAGGAAAGAATCTTACCCTGTGCCCCATCTTCAGAGTCCCTAAGAGATGAAAGAAGTGAGTGTGAGAGGGATTAGACGAACAGGAAATAGGGCTGGGACCCTGAGCTGTGCAGGGAAAGGCTGGAGCCTTTGGGGATAGGGTCAGCTCCCTCTTTCTCATTTCTAGGGGACAGCCCTGAACAAAGCCAGGAGTGAGTTACTGACTGATATTGAGGGTGTTGGCTTCTATATACTTTCCTTCAATATTTTTTACTTTATATTTTTCATACTCAGTCAGTTTAATTATTCTTCCTTCAAGTTTGGTGATTCTTCTATGTGCTCAAATCTTTGGAAAACCTCAAATGAAATTTTCTTTTAAATTGCTACTTTTTCTTTTTTCTTTTTGTTTTTGAAGTACTGGGCAGTAGCTTTACCCTGAGCTACATTCCCAGCCCATTTTGTTTTTTGTTTTGAAACGGGCTAAGTTGCCCAGTGGGACCACTAAGTTGCCCTTTGGGTCCTCCTGGTTGAGTCTTTCAAACTACTGGGTTAACAGCCATGCACCACAAAGTTTCTATACTTTTATCTCTATAATTTGTTTCTATGTTTTATATTTTTATTTTATTTCTACTTTTCATGACTTTTCTATATCTTCTTTTTAGCTCTCTGAGCATCTTTATGACAGTTGTCTTAGTCTTTGTATATCACCTGCCTCCATCTAATCTTTCCTCATGAGTTTTTTCTATTTATTTTTTCCTTTGAACAGAGCATACTTTCCCTTTTTAAAAAATTCTTTATGATTTTTGTTGAAAAGTAGGCATTTTAACCTTACATTCTTGTAGTGGTGAAATCAGATTTTCTTCCTTTCCTGAGTCTTCTAGTGTTTGGGGTAGTTTTTCTGTTATTCATTTAATTTTTAGTTTTTCTGTAGTTGGACGGTGTCTATTTGCCATTTATTAGCCTGAGGTATAAACTGCAAGTTTTCTCATGCCTTTTCTGACCCTGTCTTTCCTTGGACAAGCATTATGACTTTCTAAATCTTCCAGTGTATGTAGTTGCTTTTCCATGTCCTTATCCTCAATTGTCTGATTCCCAAAAGTAGAAAGAAAAGCAAAGGGAGGGGTTTTGTGGGGATTAGGCACTGTTGCTTAAATCCTTTGGAAGCCACCTTAGCCAGTAGAGATTGCAATAATGGTGTCCTGCTTTTGCATGTGCACTTCTGTGGTACAAAGGAGCAGTGGATATTCAGAACCCTGTTATTTGCAGGGCAAGATCCTAATTCCCAGGGCCTCTTTAGGATGCCTGCCATGGAACTTCTTGTCTTTATCCCCTGACATTTTTATGACCTTTAATCATTCTATTTATGAGTATAAGAGGTCATTCCAGTTTTTGTGTGTGTAGTTTTATGTTATTCAAAATCCTCATAACATTTTTCTCATACAGATTTTTACAGGCTGCCTTGACTTCACAGTGTAGCCCCAGATTGGCCTCAAACTCATGGCGATCCTCCTGCCTCAGCCTAAATGCTGGGATTACAGACATGGGCCACCATGCCTGGCCTTCATATTTCTTACAGATTTGCTCCTCTCTTTCTTTGTAACCAATGGGGATTGATTTTAGTGTGCCAATTTCATATCCTATAACTTCAGGGATTCCTTGATTCCTTGGTATTTTTTCATATACAGTATCATTTCTGCAAATACAGGTAATTTTTCTTCATTATTTATCTTTAAGTCTCTAATTGGTTTCTTCAACCTGATTGCATTTATTAATGCTTCTAGTATAATGTTGAGTATTAGGGAAAATAACAGTCTTGCTTTGTCCTTGATCATAACGGAAATACATCTAGTGCTTCTTCACTAAATAAGATACTAGCTTAGGGTCTAAAGTATAAATTATACCATTTCATGGAAGTATTCCTCAATTCCTATTTTCTTAAGTGGTTTTGTTGTCAGCAATGCAGCATTTCTTTGCAGCCTTTCTCAACATCTCCAAGATAAATTTTTTCTTTACATGTAATATAGTCATGCATTGTACAATGTTTTCATCAATGACAGACCACATATAATGCAGTGGTCTTATAAGATTCTGGTGGAGCTGAAATTTTTCTCTATAATTGAATTGTATGTTGTAAAATTGCTATATTAAGAAGAGGGAAAAATTTTTATAAATAAAGAGGGATATGAATTGTTGGAGCTCAGACTCAGGAAATGGTGCACAAAGAAGGTAACATGTGAAGGCTGTGGAGGGGCTTGCCAGGTAGAAAAGGGATACAAGACATTCAAGAATAGAAATAACTTAAAAATGTGATAGTTGATGAGGCAATCTTAGACCGGATACCAGGCTGCATTTCTCAATTCGTACTTTAATTCCTCTTTTCATCCCACTGATCATTCTTGTCATGCTTGGGCTCCTTAAATAAGCTTTCTTTATTCTTTTGTTTACTCTGGTAATACAGCCATTGTTCATTATCATTTAATTAAACATTATTTTCCTATTTTTCCCATGCTGTCATATTTTAGACACATAGCAAATCCTTATTTATATATCATCGACACCTTATACATATTTATCTCAGCTGATCACAGCAGTCATTGACAATTTCTCTTTCCATTCTAGGATGTAAAAGCCATCTTCAAACCATAAAGTCAACTCAAACTAAAGATTCATCACTTCAGGAACTAATGAGGAAGAGACTAAAAAAAGATGAACTCTGGGACTTCATAACAGAAAGACCCTGCATTTCTGAGGACAGATTTAAAAAAAAGTGGGACAAAAATGAAAGTTTGCAAATAATTTCAATAACCCATATGAAGATTCTTACTTTAAGTGAATGCCATAACAGTTTTGAATTTGGCCAAAACATCAGCCTGAAATCAGTCATTGTTAAGACACAAAGGATTGCTAGAGAAAAAATACCCTTAAAACATGAAGTACAAAGAAACAGCTTCAAGCAGAATTCAAATTCATTTAACCGATCAAAAATCAAGACAGCAGAGAAACGCTACAAATGTAATACATGTGAAAAAGCTTTCATTCACAATTCTTCCCTTCGTAAACATGAGAAAAACCATACTGGAGAAAAATTATTTAAGTGTAGAGAATGTTCAAAAGCCTTTAGCCAAAGTTCAGCACTTATTCAACATCAAAGAACTCACACGGGAGAGAAGCCCTACATATGTAAAGAATGTGGGAAAGCCTTTAGTCATAGTGCATCCCTCTGTAAGCACCTTAGAACTCACACTGTGGAGAAATCCTATAGATGTAAAGAATGTGGTAAATCCTTTGGTAGAAGATCTGGCCTTTTTATACATCAAAAAACCCATGCTCGAGAAAATCCTCATAAATATAATCCAGGTAGGAAGCCATCCATTTGTACTACTTCTCTTCCGGGAGGTCAGAGACTTCATCTCAGAAAGAAGTCCTACTTATGTAATGAGTGTGGTAACACCTTTAAGTCCAGCTCATCCCTTCGTTATCATCAGAGAATTCACACTGGAGAGAAGCCTTTCAAATGTAGTGAATGTGGGAGAGCCTTCAGTCAGAGTGCATCACTCATTCAACATGAACGAATTCACACTGGAGAAAAGCCCTACAGGTGTAATCAATGTGGAAAAGGCTTCACTTCCATCTCACGACTCAATAGACATCGAATAATTCATACTGGTGAAAAATTGTATAATTGTAACGAATGTGGCAAAGCCTTAAGTTCCCATTCCATAAGCCTTCAGACAAAGTTCAGCTCTCATTCAACATCAAAGAATGCATACTGGCGAAAGACCCTATAAATGTAGTGAGTGTGGGAAAACATTCAGGTGTAACTCATCCCTTAGTAATCATCAAAGAATTCATACTGGAGAGAAACCTTATCGATGTCTAGAATGTGGGATGTCATTTGGCCAAAGTGCTGCTCTTACTCAGCATCAGAGGATTCATACAGGAGAGAAACCCTTCAAATGTAATACATGTGGGAAAACTTTTAGACAAAGCTCCTCACTTATTGCACATCAAAGAATTCATACTGGAGAGAAGCCCTATGAATGTAATGCATGTGGGAAACTGTTCAGCCAGAGGTCCTCCCTTACTAACCATTATAAAATTCATATTGAAGAGGACTCCCTAAAAGCAGATTTGCATCTGTAAAAGCCTTAAACCAAAGCTTATCAGAGAATAGATACTTAAGATTGATTTAAAGTAATGAATATGAGGAAACTTTTTAATTTAGTTCTCATCAGATAGTAATTTCCAAGTCTGTGTAATGATTATGATGAAAAATTTTATACCTTTTAGTCACTTTTTAAAACATCCTAAGACACCTCGTAGTTGCAGATTTTGGCATGGGCCATTTGTAGTATGAAAATGGTTTTTTTCTGTATCAGCATTATGTAATGTCTGCATTATGTAAATACAAAAATTGGGGTTCAGGGTTGCTAAATTTTTCAGAAAACTGAGCTGTTAGCATATTTATTAGAGCTAATGTAATAAAATAATTGATCTTAAAAGTAAATGCATTTTTAGAGGATAGGACCAAATAAAAGGAAAACAAACTGCAAACTACCTCAGTGTCCAGAATATGTTTTTTAACTTATTCTCAAACTTTTTACATGGTTTTCATTTAAAAAAAGAAAAATCTGTTGCCTTTTCTATCAAATGATACCCACATGTCTCAAACACTTTCTAAACAAGTCTTAATTTTGTTCTCAAATTTTTATTGAAGGCACTTATTAGAAAACCATACTTTTTGTGCTCTGAATAGTGTTAGATAATTTAAACTTGTAGATTGTTTAGCCAGTCACTTCAATATTAAAGCTATAAATAGCTTTTAATTGGTTGCAAGATAAATCCTGATAGTTTTTAAAAAATAGCACACGTGACAAAGTCTTGAAAAAGGAATGAGTTAACAAGAGATTATTTTATTCACTTGGAGTTTTAAAGTTTTTGGAAATTATAGACTGCAAAAGAAAAAATAATTGTGACCTTTGGACTAGTTTACTCAGTAAATGTGTGTTTAGGTCTACATTTGGGCCATATTCTATCCTGGACACAAGAAATTGTATGGAAGAAAGAAACAGGCCATCTTCAACTATTAAATGAAATAGATGGGCAAGTAGGAGTTAAAAGGAATAATGAGCAGTAAAAGTTAATGTGGTTTTCGTGGAGAAAATAGGTCTAATTAGTGATGATACTATGTAATGGAACAAAGATAGGGTTATGCACAAGATAGAAGGAATTAGAAGAGCAAAGGATTCTGGAAAGACATGATGCAGTGTCCCAGAGACAATGATACCTGGGACATTTTTAGAAGAATAACTGAAATTCTTCAAAAGTGAATGTTCTAAATAGGTGAAACCACGTGCAAAGATGTAAGTGGATGGATGACAGCATGCCTCATTTGTAGAGAATCTGTTAGAAGTAATGAGCTTGGTATGTCAACCTGCAGGAGGCAGAGGCTAGGTAACAAAAGGTCTACTGTACTAATTCATTCTGAATTTTGAATTTCATTCTGAAATTTGTAGTGCCAATTAGAGGTTTTTAATAAACTGGCAACCATATAACAGATGTTTTTATGATTTTGAAGATGACTTAAATCCACAGACCCAGCCTATTTTCTGTTATGGTAGGAAAAAGATCTCATTTGTACAGTGTTAGTAGATATTTGGGTGCTTTAAGATAATTCAAATCTGCTTTAGAGAATTTTTTAAAGGAAAGGATGAGTTTGAGTTTATTATAGTTGTTTCATTTAAAATGCTCTACTTTTATCACTTTTGTATGTTTGAAATCAGAAAGAAAGTTTTAAAGCTACTCAGGGACGGAGAGAAATAATGCTTTAAGGAGTGGTATATCTCAACTAAAATTGAAATGCGGCAGTTGACCAGGTATGTGAAGATGTATGGAAAGGGAGACAAACTGAGGCAGTGTCATGAAGGCGCTGAGAGGACATGATGTGCTCCCTGTAGTATTGGAAATATTTTTAAATTTTTCCATTTTAGTATATAGAAATACAGTTTATTTTTGTATATTGGCCTGGTGTATAGCAACCTTATTAAATTCAGTTATTTCTTATAGTTGATAGATGCTTTTGGGTTTTCTGCATATGTAATCATGTTATTTATAAAAAATTACCATTTTAGTGCTCTCTTCGGCAGCACATATACTAAAAATTACATTTTAGTTTTCCTATTCCAATCATGATGTCTTTGTTTCTTACATTGCAGTCCTAGATAAAAATGGGCCAGAACAATGTTGAGTAGAAGTGATAATATTAAATATTAATCTGTTTAATATGATACCAGCTTTGTTGGTAGATATTTTTCAAGATAAGGACATTCTCTTGCATTCCTTGTGTGTTACGAATTTTTGTAATAAATGAGAAGTATTTTTTGTCATATCCATTTTCTGCATTGATTGAAATTATATCATTTTTTGCATTATAGAGAATTGCATTGTTTTAACTTTGAGATTGCATACCTGAAATTAATCCTACTATGTTATAATGTATCATCATGCTGGCGTTTGTATGTATATGATCAGGTTTCTTACTTAAGAAATAGAAACCTGATTGAAGTGACCAGGATTGTCTTGCAAAAATTAGAGTAAAAGGAATTTTTTCATCCAGTTATGAAGGATGGATGTAATATGTCTGGAAAGGAAGGAGAATATAAGGCCAAGAGTAGTGCAGGATCAAAAGGCCCAGAGGAAGACAGAATGCAACATCTAGAGGAACTTGTAGTGATACTGACCTTCCTGATAAAGAAGAGGAAAGAAAATAATATTTGACTTTTTTTTTTTTTTTGTACTAGGGAACAAACTCAGGATCCTGTGCTTGCAAGGCCACTGAGCTAAATCCCCAGCCCTGAAAATTATACTCTCTGTGGTTTTTGTTTTATTTTGGTACCAGGGATCATACTAAGGATCTTGAGCTTGCGAGGCAGAAGGCAGTACCACTGAACTAAATCCTTGCCCCTGAAAATTAATATTTGAAATGAAAGCTAGGGTTTAGCTGTGAGAGACCTTGAATGATCTTTGTATTCCTAAAACTAGAAGTTTGATCCTAAAGATACTACTATATATTTCTGAAGAGTGGCCAATTTGAAGACTGTTTTAGGAGGAATGTTTGATGGAGCAAATAGTTAAAATAGGTTTTGTGAATTTCTGGCTTGAGAAATTGATGGAAGGATTGACTGGGGACAGGAGTTTGAGAGTCTGTAAAATATTCATAGTGAGAAGGGAAAAGAGGCTAGTTCTATTCCTAGTGCCCTGTAGTTGTCCTAGTATTTTGCTGAACACCACAGATGGCAAAATTCTTAATTACATCTGACATATTCATTCTTTTCAAAATCGGAGTGTAATGAGTCTTTCAAAAGCAGAAGATAGATTAGTATAATTGGCCAGTCTGTTTCAGGTTATAAAAATCAGTTGTTGTAGTAGTACCATTTAAAACTACAGCTTTCAATGAGGACCTTCAACATAGTCAACAGATCTGTGTTTTCCAGTCCCAGTTTGGTTTTGATTTACATAGTCCCTGACTTTTTCAACTGTAGAAATTCTACCTTATCATTTAATATCCTTATTTATGGTTCCTAATTGTAAAGATCACCTCAAAAACTTAAATGTTCATCATATGCATTTGTGTATAGAAATGTCAAGATGAGTTGACAACAAAAACTACAAAGAAATACTGTTTGTATCATGTTATTAGTAACAGTACTGCTATATACTAGTGTTATGGCTAGTATTAGATGTTCCCCCCTCCCAAAGCCTCATGCTTTTTTTCTAGGTGACTGAATCTAAGAGTATGTGATTGATTCGTGGTGGGGCTAGGCCCAAGGACACTAGGATTAAGAGAGTGGTTGCTACCCACCCTAAGTAATCTGAGTAAGAATAAAAGGAGCAGGAAGATGCTCCCTTAATAAGGTCCCTTATTACCTTTGCTACCTTGTGCGCACCATGTTGTTTCTCCTCTGTGATGCCTGTTTGCCATCCCTGCCTTAGAGCCAGCGGATTATGGACTGAAACCTCTACAAACTGAGCTAAATAAACCCTTCCCCCTTTAACTTTGGGTATTTTGTCTCAGCAACAAGATAAACATAACTAACACAACCGGTGTTGTTGGATTAAAAATAAATAATTATGCATTGTTTTGAATCTAAAAGTCAAATTGTTTTAGCAAGATGGAGTAGACAAATCTATTTTTTCCTATTTCTCTTACTAAATATATGTTAAAAAAACCCTATACTTTGCATATAAAATGAACATAAAATTTTAATGATTCTTTTTGCTTTATATATCCAGACTTCAAGATGAAAAAATTGTGATCCCAGAAACACCAATGGGCAGAGAGAAAAAGCCCTAGCAAAGCTTCCTTTCTCTACCCAAATGACCAAGAAAGGGCCAGTGACCAAGATCAGAAGAAGCATTTAGAGAATAACCACTATACCCAAACAACAGAAAAGGATTATCCTACCACTACACCAGCAAAGGCCACGGGAAATCCTTCTACCCTTACCAGGCTGTAAATGTGAGCCATAAAGACCCAGCTGAGTAACATACGAGCAGGCCAAGAACTAGGATCTTCATCCACACTGGCTGGTAATGGCATGTGCTGCATTCTCTCAAGAACAGTGAAGACTATACGGGGAACCTAGATTTCTGAAACCATTACCCGGTAAGAAGACGGCATCTCCCCCTTCCCTGATAGGACAGTCTCAGAGAAGGCTGAGTGTATAGAACTTTTACCACTGTCCAGTTGTAATCAGGCTACATTTCAACCCACAGTGTCAGTGGAGGCAAAATAAGGAGCAGCAGAAAAGCAGTTTTTCTCCTCCCAGTCATAGTGGTGTAGACCCAATGAGAAGGTGAGACTCTCACCACAGCAAGCAGTAAACAGGAGGCCTTTGCCTCTTCAGGTGTCAGAAAGGCCATCAGACCACAATTAAGTGGCACCTCCTCCGCCTCTGCCGGAATAGTATCAAAGCAAGGCAGATAGAAGGTTCAAATAAAATCCATTATTTCATAATATAATATTTAAAATGTTCAGGTTTTACTGAAATATACCAAGGACCAGGAAGATTATTTAAAATAAAAATTATAATTAGCAGATAAAAGTTATGTACCATGTTAATATTATCTGACAATTTTAATGCTGATAAAGCATCAAATACTTGAGAAATTATGAAAATGCTTGAAACCAATTAAAAAGTCTCGGTGAAGAAACTGAAAGTCTCAGAAAAGAAATTGAAGGGAATAAATAAAAAAACAAATGAAAATTTTAGAACTGAAAAAAAACAATAACCATAATTTTGAAACTCACTGCATGGACTCACAGCAGAACCGAATGGACAAGGAAGTATTAGTGGCTTTTAGATTTTAAAAAAATAAAAAAGGGATGGGAGAGACTCAGGAACCAGAAAGATTATAACAAAAGATCTTACATTTTTATCATCAGAGTTTAGGAGGGAGAGGGGAAAGAGTGAGCTAAAATGTTTTTGAAGTACTATGGATAAAACTCTCAATTTAGCAAAAGATATAAACAAGTAGATTCAAGAAATTGAGCAAACCCCCAAAAGCATAAACCCAAAGATATCTACACCAAAACACATCATAGTAAAACTTCTGAAAACTAAAGTTAAAGAAAAAATTTGAAATCGGTGAGAGAGAAAAATAACATGTTCAACATACCCTGGAAGGGTGTAGTCTTTATCCCTGGCCCCTTCCCCTCTGCATCTTCTGCTTTCTTTCTGCTTCCTGGCATCCACAAGTTTAGGTGGCCTTTTTCCACCATACCCCACCACCACGAAGTATCAGTTACCGAAGACCCTTATGAAAGGTTCAATCTCCTGCTCAGTGTTGTGTCGTGCAGCTGACAGCTGAAAGCTGAAAATGAAACCAAGAGAAAACTGAGTTATAAAAGAGCACTGGGATGCCAAACTGCTGGAAGGAGCAAAGGTCAATTATCCACAGCAGCTCTCAGCTTTTAATGAATGTACAGGAGAGGCATAAATGGAATATGGGCAGAGGGTCATGGTTGAATGCACAGGAACAGTCACTTCTGCAGAGAAGCTAGCAAGAGAAGAACAAAGCATTCATGCATCAAGCACAAAAGCATCAAATTTCCATAACAGCTTAGTGGATAACTTAGTATGTTGCTATAAGCAATTTTTTACTACTGAGAAAAAGATTTTGTTCTGAGTCTTATGCTTCAGTGCAGATGTGATTCATACCTCAGCCTTTCTCCCTCATTGGCCACTTATCTGGCCTCAGAGGCTGCGTTAATGGCAGGGCATGCTGGCCCACGCATTACCATTTTGCCTCCATGGGACAGGTCAGTACCTTGGCTGAACTCTACATTTTTTAGGCTAATTAGAAATTATCTGTGCAGCTAGCACTGCCTGTGCTTCTATAATTATCATGCCTGGGTTTAGTGAGGAGAAGGATAAATGCTGTAGCAGGGGGCTGCAGTCAGAGGTCTTCAGTGTGGTGGTTCTCCACAATAACGTTTCTTCTTTATAGTTAGCCTACCGTGGACCAAACCCACTAAAACCATAAGCCAAAATAAGCCTTTTCTCCTTTAAGACATGGGTGTATTTTGTTACAGCAACAGGAAGCTGACTAGTACGAGGTTAGAGTGACCTTTCTGCCTCTGCTATTTTCTCAAATGCTAAGATACCATATTTGGGGGATAGTGTTTCCTGAACCATAGCACTGGGCATTGGGAAAGAACAAAATTAAATATATGTCTTAACCAATCTGATTTATTTTCTTTTTTACTGTAATGCTTTTATGACTCCAATTTTCTTCTAAATTTTCTTCACCAAGGAATGTCTTTTTTTAAAAAAAGTCTGAGTTATTTGTGTTGTCAGAGAATGTGGGGGCTCTTTTTGTTCCCCAGTACCAGGGACACTCTACCACTAACCTGCATCCAGTGGTGAGTTGCTAACTTGTCCAGCTGAACTTGACCTTGGCAATCTTCTTGCCTTAGCCTCCCAGAGTTCTGGGATTATAGGCATATGCTACCATACCCAGCTGAAGTTACTTTCAAAGTAGTATGAGATAATTTTTGTTTGTTTTTGTTTTTTTGGTGCTGAGGATCAAATTCAGGATCTTACACTTGAGAAGCAGATGGTGGAACCACTGAGCTAAATCCCTGGCCTGAGATCATTTTTTATAAATATATGCTGTAATGAGTTTTTTCCAATTTTGAGATGAAGAAGTCTCTATATTTATTACTTTAAGCTTGTTTATTTGCTCTTCAAATATGTCATGCCTTTAGTGATTTGGTCAGCTTTTCTATCAATTACTAAAGACAGGTTAAAAATAACTGTGGTGAACATGTCCATTTTTTTGTTCTGTTAACATTTGCCTTATATATTTTGAATCTATACATATATTACTAAAAAAACAGAAAAGCTTATAATTTTGTACTCTCCTGGTAAATATACCCTTTATCATTATTTAATTTAATTATTTAATTATTATTTCTCTGCCTCTAGCAATATTTATTACCTTATGTTTATTTTTTTAAATGTAGCTATATTAAACTGCTCTGGTTAATATATGGTGTATCTTTATTCTGCTTTTGACTTTCAAACTTTATGTATTCTTAGGTTTTCGGATATACTTAGACTTTAAAAAAATAGATCCCAATAATGAATGTAACTGTACTGTATATCTAAAATGTACCAATAAACTCAATAAAAAGAAAAAATAGTCTGATAGCATTTTTCTTTGTTAAGTTCATTCCATGTGCATATCTAATGATTATTGATAGATGTTGGTTTATTGCTACCATTTTAATTATTCATCCCAACACCTCTGCTTTTTATTTGTCTGTACTTGGTTGGAAATTGGATACCCTGTGTTGTGGAACCATTCCTACCTAAACAACTGACTTAATGAAAATATTCATATAGATTCTATATTAGAATGGCTTTGTGGTCCTAGAGAAAACTGTTCATTTCAAGGTATCTGTCTTAGGAAAGGAGCAGTAATTAATAAAAATTGTTTGGTGCTGGATTTCCCTAGCTTAATTACAAGAATTATGAAGTTTGTAATTTTTCCATATTCTAAAAGTTTAGGCCACTGTGGAAGAGAAAGAGCTAAGACAATAAAGATGGATTTTATTCAGTACCGGTACAATAGGGAGAGTAGCATCAGTGAAACAGAGCTCGACTCTGAATACAATAAAGGCAGTAGAGGATTTATACCCAACAAGCAGAGTGAAGGTGTCAGGGATTGAAACTTAGTAAGAGAAGACATCAAGAGGGAGATTCCTGTAAAGATTGGTCAGGAATCCAAGACATAAAAGGTGGGTATGTTAGCCAGCTTTCCATTGCTGTTATAAAATACCTGAGAATAACAACTTAGAGAAGCAAGGTTTGTTTTGTCTCGTGGTTTCAGAGCTTACAGTCCCTGGTCAGCTGGCTCTGTGTTCTCAGACTTGTGATAAAGCAGAAACATAATAGAAAAAGGGCATGGCACAATAAAGCTGCTGACCTAATGGAAGCCAGGAAACAAGATGGAAATAGGATGAAGGGTCAGGGGACCAGATATGGTCCCCAAGGTCATGCCTCTATGATCTACTTCCTTCAGCAAGGCTCCATATCCTGTTTCCAGCAATGCCGTCAAAATATGAATTCATCAACAGACTAATCCATTGATTTCATACATTCATTCATTAATCCATCGATGAAGTTAAAGCTCTCATGAGCCAATTATTTCCCCAAAAGCCCATCAGCTGGCAGTCACACCTTCAATTAGCCTTTTGGGGGTACATTTGAGATAAGTATAACAGTCAGCAGGGGATAAGGCATTTGCTTAGATAAAATATGGGAGACAGCATTATTCTTGCTAAAACTGGTTTTAGCAGGCCCAGGAGGAGGAGGCCTATTCAAAAAGAGGTCTCTAGAAGCCTGTCTAAAAATCTGGTTTAGGGTATTGTTTTAGAGAGAGAGAGAGAGAAAGAGAGAGAACAAAAGGAAAAGAAAAAACCCGGCTTCTGTAGCTAGTGGCACATGTAAGACAACTTGTTGGCTCTTTGTGCAGAATCAACATGAAGATATTTTGAAAGCACGTTTTGGTACTTGGATCTTTGGTCCCAGATGTCTTACTAATTGTAAAGAACATGGGGAGGGGAGCAGTGGGAATTAGCAAGTCATTTTAGAAAACCAAATGTTACAATTGAAGAGATCATACTGTTGTGCCCCCGAATGTCACACACTTCTCCAAGTTCCAAAGTGGCAGATCCAAAACTGCCTGAACATAATGCAAACATTTAACAGAGATTTTGCTAGCTTTCTACACAGTGCTAATTTTGAAGGACTGAGAGTGTCTCCCAACACTGAGCTGGGTTCAGCTGCCACCATTCATGCTCATGAAGCGCCCACACATCTAGTTTGTCACTACTTTATCTCCTTATGCTCTCATTTTAGGGAGTGCATGAAGGACCCCTCATTTCAGATGAGGAAAAGCGAGTCTTAGCTAAGATTTTCTGCCCCATCTACTCTCTGAGGACCCCTAAAGAGGGGCAGCAATAGGAGGTGGACGCTCAGGTCCACACCCCGTTAGTCCACCTTACTAAACACAAGGGCACGGGGCTAACCTTGCCGCTTTTAGCAGCCCTAATTTTCTACCCTGGCGGCCCGCGCGTGCGCACTCGGACTTCTACGCCGCAGCTCCGCAGCCTTGTGGGAAATGTAGTTCGACGTGCCGGGTGCGGCTGCGTCCGCCCGCCGCTCCCGCGGGCTGC